ACATGGACCCCATTTGAAAACCCATAACACTTGTTTTTTTTTTTTTTTTTTTTTTTGCAGCCAAAATTAGTTTTCCTGACAATAGTGAAAGTAAGTATAAGTATATAATACAAGAGTAAGACGAGAGACAATTAGTCAACCATCACAATGTATTTTTCAACAGACTCTGATCTGACAATATATTAGTTTTTTTTTTCTTGTCTAGTAGGCTATTTTGTCTATTTAGTTTCCATGGTGTAAAAAACTGTCAAGTAACCAGAAAAATATGCATGTGGCTGTTGTTATTCAAGCTATAAATATTAGTCTGACTTCATTGAGCACTTTTACTGTTACATCAAGTATAAATACCTCCTTATTTCCACATTTGTACTTTATACTGTGTAGATTCCAGCCTAGACCTACTAATAGATTTAACCCTTAATTAGCATATCTACATTTTGATGAATTAGCAAGGAATAATTTTAAGGGTGTAAAACGAACTAGGAAAGAGTGCTGTTGGCATATGAAGATCGGTGGCTTGAGACGTAGACGTCAGCTAGGCGGGGGGCAATAAAAACTCCTTCCCTTGGCTTGACCGCATCTTGAAACCTCTATCTAGAGTAGGCTATATGAGGCAATCATGTACTTCTGCGTTTAGCGTTTGATGAACTCTAGTCCCACTGAAATAATGGGTTAGAAAACTCGACAAACTTGATGGATTACACTGACTTTACAAAGCACAGACTCTCGTTTCAAAATCAAACTGATTAAATACTTCACATAAGCCATAATTAATAGTGAAATGATTGAGTCCAACGTGAGTCTGAGTTGCGCGTGGTGCGCTGGAGGAGGTGACGGGACCAGAGCGCACTTGGATGAGAATCACTCAGAACACGGTCTGAGTCCGACTGGACACTTGGTGGTCGCCGTGTGCCTTGGATTCGTCGGAACTTTTGGGTTTCTCAACAACACGCTCGTTCTCATCCTGTTCTGTCGCTACAAAGTGCTGCGCTCGCCCATGAACTGTCTTCTGGTGAGCATCTCAGTGAGTGATCTGCTGGTGTGCGTCCTCGGCACTCCGTTCAGCTTCGCCGCCAGTACGCAGGGCCGGTGGCTCATCGGACGCGCGGGATGCGTGTGGTACGGCTTCATCAATTCATTCCTGGGTGAGTCTGTATACAGCTATGTCGATAAACAATTAAATTAGGCTTCGGAGGCACCTGTATAGGTTGGTACTTTTGAATCGCACCTCACAAGCGCAGCTACATTGTAAAACGTTTTTTTAATCGTTAAAATGCTATGATGACATTTGTGTGTTGGATATTTAACACGATAGATGACAAATGCGTATTAGAAATGTACTTGCAGCACGTTCCCTTTAGGCGTTTTAGGAACCTCCACGTCCGTTATTACGCTGTCAATAAATGTTTTGTCTTTCAAAGTAACAATAAGCTACCAGTAACATAAAACAATGTGATAACGAACGAGAGAGAGAGATATATCAAACATGACACTTAGTGTCTCTTTATATTTCCTCATACCAACTTGACATGAACTTAATTAAATTCAGAAAGATATTACTCACGTAGGCTACGTTTGAATAACCGACATTGTACCATCGCTGCAGTCGTATTCTTAAAAATCCTCCTTACTTGGGTAACTTAAATGTTAACGCAACAGCTATCGTGTGCTATATTTTTAGTTTTATAAACATTATTGATATAATTTGTCGTGAGGTAAAAGCGTATTCACAAGCTTCCTGTCAGAGACGTGCGCACGCTGCTCTAGTCATTTTAACGGTTTTTTTCTCGCCAGGGAGATGTTGCTAAGCCTAATCAAGTCTGTTATCCAAAAGCTGCAGTAGGCTAATATGAATATTACTATTTATTTTAGTAAACTGTTTTACAGTTATTGTAAATTGCCCGAATTACCTTTTAAGTTGGAAATCTTATTGCAGTATTTTAATACGTTAAAAAAAAAAACTAAATAAAACGCACACAAACTATTTTTTTAGGAGTAGCCTAGGCTACAAAAAATGCATTGTAGTTCACCTGCAATATAAACCTCAAAGCTGCCTAATCCAACATATAGGTTATGTTTACACATAATAGGACAGGCTACCTCCCCCTGTCTATATAGATGGCAATCAGTCTAAATGGATGTTGTCTTGTTGACATTTTAAACTCCTAGTTCTGGATAGCCTATAAGTTTTAGTTTGTGTTGTCTTTCTGGAAATGTACCACAGTCAAATTATGGTATTCTTTGTAGTGTAATATGTCGTAGCATGTAAGTAACACAGCATTACCATCTGATACCATTAATGTACCATTGTACCACACAGTACATTTTTATGTAGGGGTGTTAAAATTGCTCAAAAGTACACAAAAAAAGTCCAACCCTCTAAAGTTGAAAACTTGCCAAAGTTTCAACCCACAGTAATAAGTTCATTGCACTTTTTCAGACACTTGAAATTTATTTACGCATGACAAAAATAAAATTGGAACTATTTAATGAGTTGAAAATTCATTAAATAAGTAGAAATTGCAAATTATTGGAAACAAATGTGATGATAACTTTTTTTTACAGTGTACAATTGAAAAGACCAATAAGTCTCCATAATTGGGAAAAAGTTTAAATAAACACACCAAGAGTGCAGAGATGTATTCTTCTTCTGGTTAGGGTTTAGCACTCGACCTGAAGGCAAGGAGAGCTGTATTCATGGAAATAAGATGTGTGCTGTCCTGTACTTGACCCATAACACAGTCTCTGTAATGGGGCAGAGCTGGGTGTAGTGTTTCCAGTGAGTAGAATAGCTGTTTTGTTGTTAATTAACTGGTGCCACTTTTCTGGTGCCAGCAGCCCTTAAAGGGATAGTTCACCCAAAAATGAAAATTTGATGTTTATCTGCTTACCCCCAGGGCATCCAAGATGTAGGTGACTTTGTTTCTTCAGTAGAACACAAACAAAGATTTTTAACTCAAACCGTTGCAGTCTGTTAGTCATATAATGGAAGTGAATGGGAATCACGGCTTTGAGAGTCAAAAAAACATACACAAACAAATCCAAATTAAATCCAAATTTGTTTGTGTATGTTTTTTTGACTCTCAAAGCCGTGATCAAATAAGTCTGTGTGATTATATGACGATATATTTTAATATCAATGTTTAAGAGCTCTATATGACCTACTTGGTAATTTAGAATGTTGATGATGCAGTGTAATTGTCAAAACCTCAATGACCAGTCAGGGTCCTCTGCTGATTAAAGCTGGACGAATCACCATTGGTTCAATAAAACTATGCATATGGGAGAACTAAGTGTGCTTTTATGGAGAAAACCTCTGTAATTGGTTCCACTCCTTGAAAGCCTGATGGCAACTGCCTCTCATTGCTTTGAAAAGGCTCATTACTTGCTTTCCTGATTAGCTGTCATCAGGAACCACCATGCATATGATATAACATGCTTCTTTACTCATTCACAATGTGTAATGCCATTATGATGCTAAATGTAAGCAGTGGACTATACACTTGAATCACAGATTATTGTTATCTCCCTCGAATAAATTACACTGATAAAGTGCTAACAAAGCTGATACTTACAAGACAAAAATACATTTGAGCCTTTATTCTTTAAACCATCAGTACAGCAAACACATCGTCAGGCTCATGGAGATACAGCTTCATCCAGACATGGAACACATTGTCAGTGCAGATTTCACATCAGGCAGAGAAAAATGACTGTATTAAGGTTCAAAATGTTCTTGAGACGTTCTTTTTCAGGCTTATACATTAGTTTAAATACTCAAGCTTATAGGCTCTTTGAACAACATCATTTTTGAGTCAAGATCTTTCTAAGCAGCTTTTTTATGATTAGGATGGCAGGATTTTGTGAGTTGATCTTCAAAACAGTGTGAATGTTAGACTGGAACACACAAGCACATGTGAAAATTTTTTGTCTTTCTCTGCTTAAAGTTTGGTGAAGTCCGATCTTTTGGATTTATATACCAAAACATTTTTTTTTTTTAATTGAAACAGATTGATCTCTTGGCCAAACAGAAAGAACCTAAACTTAAAAACGGTGTGGTTTGCAGTGTTGTTTATTCTGAATTTCTCTGCTCAAAGCCCAATGTGATTGCATTTTTCTGCATAAATTTTAACTTTAGTGTAAGCTTTGTAACTTGTAACATTTTTCTTAACTATTACAAGCCAGAGTTTCTTTACAGTAAATGTCTGACACATTTTGGTACAACAATCCTGTATTTGTCTCCTACAAATTAAAGGGATAGTTCACCTAAAAATAAACATTCTGTCATAATTTACTCACCCTCACATCATTCCAAACCTGTAGAATTTTCTTTCTTCTGTGGAATATGAGACAATTTTTGAGAAATGTCTCTGCATTGTTTCTTTGCCCTTGCATTGGAAGTCAGTGGTTACTGAAACCTACTGATGACAGAATTTTTAATTTTGGGTGAACTATCCCATTAGTTAGTCTCTATTGTTCAGAAATCAGGTACTGAAATGAGTCTGTACTCTGTACTAACAATTCTGCAGAAAGACTGAATTTGAACGTTGTTTATAATAGTATCAGCTTGGTTTCTTAGTACCGGCACATTTCAAAATGTCAAAAAAAATTTGTCATGATTGTAATAATGCACACTCCCTTGCGCTTTACCAAGAGACCTTTCAGTCAGACACACCTCAAATGAGTGTGAACACCTGCTCTTCACAGTTAAAATGACAATGACATGATAGCTGCCTTCAGTTTCAGGTGCGATATTTGAAGATTTGGTTTGGTTTTGCCAGCACTAATGACAGTGCACTGTACAACGACAAAGGAGGAGAAAGCGTAATAAAACAAAAGTGCCCATTACCAGATGTACCAAGCTGTATTGTACAGTGCTCTGATGTTTGCCTAGATAAGTGCATATAAGACTGTAAATCACCAGTTTAACTTCCTGATAAAAAAAAAAAACACACACAAACAAATGCAGGTGTTGAAGGGAAACTGGATTAGATGAATAACACTGTTGTAGTAAACTAAAACAAAGGTTGTAGGATTCATTTTAAAGTTTAAAAATTTGCTGAAAATGTATTTACCTTCGGACCATCCAAGATGTAGATGAGTTTGTTTCTTTATCAGAACAGATTTAGAGAAATTTAGCATTACATCACAACTGATCCTCTGCAGTGAATGGGTGCCGTCATCACAATAATCCACAAGTAATCCACTCCAGTCAATCAATTAATGTCTTGTGAGGTGAAAAGCTGTGTGTTTGTAATAAATTCATCAAGGCGTTTTTAACGTCAAACCATTGTTCCAGGTAAAATATAAGTCCTCCATCCTTAATATTGCTTAATATTTTGTCAGTTGTTCCTGACGGCACACATTCACTTCATATGATCCATAGGTGAGCAAGTGATGTAATGCAAAATTTCTCCAAGTCTGTTCTGATGAAGAAACAAACTAATGTACATCTTAGATGGTCTGAGGCCTGAGTAAATTTTCAGCATATTTTCATTTTTGGGTGAACTATTCATTTAAATAATTTTCACTCAGAAATGACTAGTAAATTTCACAAAAAATTGCCAAAAAAACCCCCCCTCCATTAACAGGTTGAATTAAACATGAAATTTTGAAGTAAAAGTCTCAAATAGTATTTTCTTGTAAAACTTTATCCAATAATCTTTATTTACAACTTAGAAAAATCATTTTTTACAGTGTCAAAATGTATCAAAATTGTTTCATTGTTAAGCAAGGTTAACCCCCAGCACTGAACATGATGTATAGTGCTCCCAATAAAGCTGCAGATTTGGCCTTTTACTCAACATAAACCACCATTCAAGGGTAATAAGGATATGTAAGCAACCCAGAACAGCTATTACTCATAACAGTGCGTTGTTTTTCTGTGTATCTCTCTTCTGTTTGTACAGGTGTCGTGTCTCTAATCTCCCTGGCGCTGCTCTCTTACGAGCGCTACTGCACCATGATGGGGGCCACGCAGGCCGACTCTACCAACTATAGAAAGGTGGCCATGGGTATTGCTTTCTCCTGGATATATTCCATGGTTTGGACTGTTCCGCCGCTGTTTGGATGGAGCTGCTACAGTCCGGAGGGTCCCGGCACCACCTGCAGCGTCAACTGGGCCGCCAGGACAGCCAACAACATGTCTTACATCATCTGTCTGTTTATCTTCTGCCTTATTCTCCCTTTTATGGTGATTGTCTACAGCTATGGCAGACTGCTTCAGGCTATCACACAGGTAGGTGTCACAACCATTACAGTCTACTACAGCTGATGAGTTATTGATTTCAGAAAAGCTTTATGCCTCATATTACAGACCATTATGCTTGATTTGTAGAGATTTAGCTTGGATTAATTTCTTGAGTTACTGGTTGCACAATAAATTTGACTAGGCTCGGTAAAGATAAATGATGAAATAAATAATTAATTAAGTGCTTTTCTTTTAAAGGGATTATTCTTGGAAAATTCAATGAAAGTTCAAACTAAAGGGATAGTTCACCCAAAAATGAAAACTCACCCTCAAGTTGTTCCAAACCTGTGTTGAACACAAAAGAAGATATTCTGAAGAATGTTAGTAACTTTCATAGTATTTTTTGGCATATAATGGAAGTCAATGGCTACCGTCAACTATAATTAATAATTGCAATTATTTTTACACTTTTTTATTATATACATTTGGCTTATTATATATTGTGCCTAATTTTTTTTAAAAGTGCCATTTTTTATTTGTGAAATATTCCAGATCCATTCTTTCTTAGTGATTTTCCCATCTACAAGCAACAAAAGGATAGATCAAGGCATCTGCTTTCATATTTTATCATGAAGTATAATTGTTGTGTTGTATTAAAATGTATGTAATGCAATATCAGGAAAAACTGTCCTTGACTCCTTCACGTTACATTGCAGCTCGTTAATGTGACAGAAAATGCAGCAAATGATTTATGCAACCTTCCACAAGAGAAACAATTACCTGGACTTCAACTTCAACTTTAATTAGCGTAATATTCACAAATTATTATGAGTTTTCTCGATGACCTTTTTTTCATCATTAATTAACAAAACCACTCTGCAGTCCTCTCAACGTGTGGTTCAAATTAAAAACAGTTTGAATATTTCGGCTCGCGGCAGTTTCCTGTCTGTTTCTCTATCATTTCCATTTTACCAGAGGAAGGCAGATTAATTCTTTTTCGACCGCTTGCCCCAGAGATGTCCTGCACTGTCCGGTGATCAACATCAGCAGTCAGCAACAATTGAAATTTCACACGAAACATCTTGAATGCAAATTAAGCACTGTATTATGCCGGGAAGGAAGCAAATCGTGTCAGAATTTGCATGGAGATGGGAAGAAAACATTTCAGTTGAGAAGTAGTTTTTATTTGATGTCCCCAGAATGGCCCAATTTTCTGGAGTAAACAAAACACAAATCCTCTCAAAGCTCCCACAATTCCTTTCCTTCCTCCCGTCCCTCGCAGTGTGGGCGAGCTAACAGAGGCCATCAGCTGCTTACAATAAATGCACTGACACAACAAAGCACTTTGATTTGCAACCGAATTACTTTCAGTAGCAACAATGAATGAGAAATCTGCTTGCAAGCTCCATCTTCTCTGCGTCTTAACAGACTACAATGTATGAAATAGATGTTTCAGCACTTTTAATAGACTGTGATGTTCAGAGGGAGTTCGGAAATTAAAACATTCATGTTTATGTAAATTAGCCCGGCCTACAATGGGCCATTGATGCTTTCAGAACTGAGAGATTCACCTTTTCGTTTCACTTCATTCAGCAGCAACTCATCGCCCAGCCTGTGTCATTGCATTAACATAAGCACTTTCTTCATAAAGGTGTGCAAAAGCCCTGCTGAATCTCATTTTGGTCTGAAGGTCATCTATAGATTTCTGCACAATGTCATCCGCAATGAACTGTATGTGAAGCCGTGGTTATACTCTATCACAGTTCTTTATGTAGGTCAAGATTTAGCGCTAGACATCAATGGTGTGATCTAACCTCAGTGGTGAAAACACCCTGCTTCTCTGACCGATACATGCTTGTGCAAGCAGATAACTTTAAGCCTGGGCTTGTGTTCATAGAAGCAGGAACAAAGGGAGGTCTTCTTAAGCCTATTAGTTACTATTTCACAAGAGCGGAGAAATGTAAACGAACCTTTAGAATAGACAACTCGCAGGGCTTATGATCTTGCAGTCGCCTTTTATTTAGCATTTCTCAGAAATCTTTATCACTTAAGCAAATACATACATACATACATACATTTGCACACAAAAAGTATTCTCGTAGCTTCATAAAATTACGGTTGAACCACTGATGTCACGTGGACTAATTTAACAATGTTCTTACTACCTTTCTGAGCCTTGAACACTGTAGTTGCGTTGCTGTCTGTGCAGGGTCAGAAAGCTCTCGCATTTCATCAAAAATATCGTAATTTGTGTTCCGAAGATAAACAAAGGTCTTAC